TGGGCGGTACTTAAATCGTTAAACCTGCGCTTAATGACTTCTGAGCCGGTTGGACAAACTCAGAGCCGGCTCCATGGCCGACACGCCACCGCGCCATTACGGCGGTCTGAGTGGGCAGATGGGCGGCCTCCGCTACAGGTGGTCCCGTGGGGACTCGGGGCCAGGTGAGCCGCCCTCGGCCGTTCGTCCGGCCGCCGCCCGCCCGCTCGCCCGCTCAGCCCATTGTTCCCGGCAGCCCCCGGCGGCGCGGACGGCTTCGTTTTGCCGCCGGCAAATCGCGAGGAAAATTGACGGCGGCGCGGCGTGGAATCGATAGGCGCGCTCTCGGAGGCGGCCGGCGCAGCCCGATGCCACCCCAGCCGCCCGCCGCGGGCCGCCGCTCGGCCCCGACGAGCTGTCGGCAAACAATGTCGGTCTGATGTTTCCTGCTGTCGGCGGCCAGGCCTGCCGCTGGGGCGGCCGCTCCCCTCCGCAGCGGCGCGTTACCACGCAGACCGCGGCCGTCAGCACAGCCACCCGCACCGTCCGCCGCCACCGTCTTCCACCGCTGCGCCCGGCTGCTGTCGACGGCGGCAGGCTGTTTTTCGTCCAGCCTAGCCTCATCTCGGGACTCGCGAGAGGCAGGACATGACAACGGTCCGATGAAAACCAGCCAGCTCAACCGAGAGATCTCTGAGAATATCTCGTGTATGACATTTTTGTGTTCAGGCATGACCTCACAACATAGCAAATCTGCAGTAAACGATTGCTCGGAAACTGAGACCATCTACCCCGTACCTTCATGGTTAACCACACAATCTGTCGTCTTGACTCGCCGCGTCTGGTCCGTCGCTCTGCCCTGTGACTCTCGGGGGGGGGGGGGGGAGGACGTCGGCAGCCGGGACCGACGACAGCCCGTCGGCGGCTGGCCCCCGTCGAAGGTTGGTAACGTTATCTGGACGGCCGCTCTGCCGGCCGAGAGTGCCGCTCGTTCCTCAGCGCGGTCGTGACGGAGCTGCCTAAGCTGCTCGGACCAGACTGGAGAGGGGGTGGGCAATCTGCCTGAGGCGCTGGCTGGACGGACGCAGATGGCCCTGCCTAGAGCGCTGGCCAGACCTGGCATGGAGGCGCATGAAGCGCCGACTGAAATAATGTGGACCTGCCTAAAGAGCTGAGCGGACTATGGCGGTACTGGGTGAGACGTTAACTGGACCAGGGTTAACCTGTCAAGGACGTTGACCGAACGAGAGTGGGCATGCCTAATACGCTGATCGGACGTGGATTGACCAGAGTAAACGCCCAACAGACCAGGGCGAACCTGAGGGCCCTGGCATGATCCATGACGGTACATATGTAGAAAGGCCTAAAGTGATGACCAGTTCAGGGGTGTTCCACCCGCCACCACCCGAGAGAAAGGCTTTGCATACACGAGTTGGACTGTGCTGGACCGAGAACAAGGGCAGGGGAGTCAGGAAAATAGTGAAAAGAAAATAGAATAGTTATACTAGAGAGGACAGGAAGATGACAGGAAGAGGGCTGGGAGAGGACTGGGAGAGAACTGAGATGCGGCGGTAGAGGACTGAGAGAGGGCTGAGAAAATCTGGGAGAGGCCGAGGGCACCGTTTCGGTTCACCGGGCCGGCCCGATCGTTCCGAACCGGCCGCCGCTGGCCGCCTTCGGGTCCAACGGTCCGCGAAGCGCTTATTTACTGGCGTTAGACAGAAATATGACTTCGGCACCGACTGGCCGGACAACTTTTGGGCGCCGGCGACGCGTCTGGGCCGGCGGGAGCGGTGCCTGTCGCCGCGGCGGCGCGTCTGTCAGCCGTCATCGGTGACGGATCTGTGACAGACGTGACAGCCGCAGTGGCCGTCCCACTGATATGTGACGGATATGAGTCGGATTATGCATCTGATGCGAGAACTCGCGCCGCCACTGAAGTTAGCTGGGGTGGCTGGCTGGTGAGGAAGGGTGTTCTTGAGACATTGGAACGCTTATCTTACTGCAGTGTTCGAGTACTTGGAAGTATGATGGAAATTATTTTTGAAAGTTTAAGCTGTTCTCAGCTCAGCTAATAAGTGTGTAAGCCGTGTAGCGAGCTCACCCCAGGACAGGGAAAGTTTGGAGCGAGCGCGGAATATCATACTTTCAGAGATAGCCTGGAGCACAAATGACAGAGTTTTACTGTATGTACTGAACTGTAAGCATATAGGTATACTGTCGGCTGGTTTTGACAACAAGCTGCTATCATGTGTTTGAATCAAAATTATACCGTAGATAAGAGGAATCATGTAAGTTGTTTATCCATGATTCACGCAATCTATGAAATTAGGCGCCCAGCATACATGCGAAAATTTGTACAGCTTCATCGCTAAATACATTTTCAAGTTGAAAAGTTGAGCAAGCGACGGTATAACTAATTAACTTATACTAGCCCTCGTTTCCGTCAGTCAACACATTTAATCATAGATCACACATTTGGTTACTAGCTCTAGTACACTTCTACCGTAGCCTCGGACGACTCGCGTTAGTTTGGTGTTAGGAGCTAGCGGTGGTCGGTTGGCGGTTGGTGCCGCGGCCGTCCGGAGTAATCTCATCAGACGCCAGCCGTGCACCCGTTAGTGGCGGCTGCTGACGGCACCTGGTACTCTTCTGGAGCGCCGCCTTCACCTTCTAGGTCATAGCCACCGCCGCCGCTACCGCCACAGCCACCGCCGCCGCCGCAGCCACCGCTGACACTGCCGACGCTACCCACATCGCCGCCAGCACACTTTTCCCATGGTGCCTACACATTATTCTTTTCTGAGAGCCAAAGCCTATGTGAGCACCAAGCACATGCACATATGCGGCGAAACTTCCTCATCACTCTGCTCTTGCGCTTACGGTTTTTAGCGCCAATGTCCTTCACAAAAAGAGTCGGGTGCGTTAGGCGAGGGTTGATACGCACAGGGAGGAATATTCCGAGAGCCACGCAACCGTGTGCAGTGGCTAGCACAGCAGCTAACATTATTTAAAAGCCGCCCCATATAGCATCGCCATCACAACGCTGGTTTGCCGTCGCCCGTGCCATAAAGGCTCTCGTCAACAGCTCGGATCCCTTCAGCTTCACCGGGGAAGTGGTCCGGCGATGGTCGGTAACAGCGCTATCAGTGCCGCGATAATTCGGTAAAACGGCCCTCTCCCGACGGGACCGACGCGCCGCTGCCGCCTCCTCTCGCCGGTCCGCTGCTCTCCCTCTCCCCGCCCCGCTCCTCTCCCTCTCACCACCCGTCGCTCCCGTGTCAGCGTGACGCAAAACAATGCATTTTATATCGACGGCGGCGCTGGCGGCACGACAGCGACGCTCCCGGCGCGGTGTGGCGAGCCGTGGCGCGGCCAGCGTCTCATCGCCGTAGCTGATGGATCGACCAAGAATTAATTACCGCGGCCGCGATTCGACCCCGGGGAGCGGCGGGTCAATTATGTCGCCACACGGTCGTGTAATTGATCCGTCAGCGGCGGCGCTCGACCGGTCATCGCCAAGGGACCGACGGCGACAGCTCTTCTGTCGGGGGACCACCGAGCGACACCCTCCGGTGTCCACTGGTGTCTAATTGTCTCTCCTGTCTTTCACCCGCTGGCTGCGATGGTTAAGAGCTTTCGAAGCCTGTTCTCGGTTCAGCGTTCACTGTTCAGGGTTGCACATAAGAGAAATACAGTATAACCAATGTCGCCTGTCCCTATTGTTTGTCTAACTGTGGGGCGAAAGGCTGCGTCCGCAGATAACGTTCGCTGCCTGTATCCTTTCGGCGTCAATGGCCTCTTCAGTAGAACCACCTCCAGTTCTGCCAAAATGCTAACGGCCGGTGAAATCCGCGGAATCCGAAACTGCGTTCACAATAAATGTTCGGCTCGTCCCCGACGGTTGCGGCTCAAGTGGCCGATAACACGGTCCAATCGTGCAGCGAGAGCTCGTCCGTGCTGGGTTACCGAGGCGTATTCCCGGTGGTGCCGCGCCGACATCGACGGCGGCGGCGCGGCGGCGCGGCGGCGCCTAAGTCGGCGCGGCGCGGCGGAAGCAGCGAGGCGTCACTCCAGTTCATGCATCAAACTCGCTGCGCTCGAATCATTCGCCATCAACCATCAGCCCGGTTTGGAATTCGTTTGCATCCAATGAATGTTAAGTGCGTCAAGAGGCCGGCTATATGAACTGCTCTGCGGCCGGCGGGACGGTTGAGCCCGAGAGGAGAAATGCGGGTGGCGACTCTACCGGCGACCTGCCGCGTTCCAGTGCATCTGCTCATTAGCAGACCCACGCGGGACACCCTACCACTGACATAACATCGCAGTCTGAAGTCGTGGGCGTGTGAAGTCCTACAAGTTATTCAATTTGGCCAATTCGCTGAAGAAGTTCTATGCATTGATACATAGAGAGATCAGCGTTTGTCCGTAAATGGCTGCTAGGACAGTGGAACGATTTTCGTTCCCTTGTGTACCACTACCAACAAGCACTGTGTAATAAGCAGTTAAGCATTACACATGTAGTTATTGTATTAGCTGCCACTTTCACTTCATAGATAACATAAATAAATTTGGAAAACTGTCTTGTGCTGTTCCGCTCATCAACTTAAAGGTTGACCGCTCGTTGATTAAAGGCTCGCTGGTTGTGAATTCCCAGTCTCTAGTTTCTGGTTGAGCGGCCACAGCTCATAGACCATTCAATAGTTGACAGCTGACGACACCTCAACTTAGTCGGCGCTGGGGCAGCCAAATCCTCTCCTCGCCACTTGGTGACCATCTGTCCAGAAGATATCATCATAGGCTTAAGATCAAAGAGTCAGCAGTAGCCTGCTCAACGACACCTGCCCCAATAATTTAATTTGTTCAAAACCACCGGAAATAACATGAGAATCTCATCTTGTTAAATTCGTGAGCTGGCTCTTATTTGACAAGTTGCAATGTGATGAGCTTGTGAAACAGTACCAAAATATTGTCCATTCGTCGCTAAACGTATTTGGTAACATATTTGTGCTCTTTTCTAGGTGTATCGGCGGTCAGGATGATAAAAACCCACTTTCCAAGTCACGTGGTTATGGGAAAGTCGATGAACATGACGTGCGACTACGACCCGGAGGGGGAGCGCGTGTACCAGGTAAAGTGGTACAAAGACGACAACGAGTTCTACACTTACATTCCGGGAAGTTCGGCCAAAACCTACGACACCACCGGCATGAATATCGACAATATTGACGTGAGTATAACTGCATTACTATTGGATTTATAGACGTTATTAGATTTGCTATGGGGGCTTTTATAACTAGCCGCTAAAGTGCGACACTAAAGTTAACCGAACCATGCCAGTATTCTTGTAATGGGCCGGTTGTAAACATTTATTTCATTGTGTAGTCGATAGTTGACCATTATGAAAATGGGATCGGTAAAACCTCGTAGTTCCGCACCTAAACGGCAGGTCAGGATCCAGGTCCAGGGCCAGGGTCAAAAACGGTCCATCCATCTCCATGAGGATTGTGATGACTTCCACTGCAGTGAGCATCGCAGTTCCTGTTTTTATTGGCTCTAAAATACTTCCAAATTACATCTAAAAATCTACTCTCTATATATTGCAAATTGTGGCCAGCCTCAGCACATTCTTTATCCGGGCTAAGAGGACCAGCTCTTATGCCCTTCAAAATGGAAGGCGTTTTGTGTAGTATGGATTATGCCAAAATGCGCCGCCCGGGAATGCGGCTACGCGGCTCTTTTTGCACTCATTGTCCACCACCAACTGGTCAAAAATAGGGACTGGCCTATACACACCGTCTGGAATAGGTGTGATTTGTGATGTAGAATGCAAGTTCTTGTCTTGGTCGTCAGCTTCAAACAAATTTTACTCGCTCAAAATAGACATAACTTTCAACAAGTTTTACCTAGGTATATCAATATCGAAGTGCTGCCGCACTGCACATCACCAGTTACATGCCACTTCTAAGAGCAGAGTTCTCTCCAAAGTTTGCCCATCAGCGACCACTCCCGAGTACAGACTGTTTCCGGACCGTAACTTGTCCAGCCCCACCTAAACCTTTGTTTCCCTTCTGCGTAATGCCGTCGAGTTGGTCCATACACGGTGTTGTTCAGCGTCAGGTCATCACCAGCCCGCCGCCAAGTTTGGGGAAAGTATCCGAGTTGGTCGCTCCGTTTGCCAATAGATGGAGTTGTCAGGAGCAAAGAGTGTCGTCATTCACGACGTGGATCTGCGCATGGAGGGCAGGTACGGCTGCGAGATCACCATGGACTCGTCCTTCGACACAGTCATCGGAGTCGGGGACGTCATGATCGTCGGTGAGCAAATTGTTAGGAGAGGTCCTCGGCCTGGCGTAGGTGCGGGTTTACAATGCCGGTCTACATATCAACTTTAAACTTTGCGTATCCACAAGTGATAAATATGAAATATATTTTAGCTAAAATGCTTAATAAATCTAACTAACATCATGCTTATATGTCGGTCACACAGACAAATTAGCAACCAATAACAATTCATTATCCACACCTCGTACGTCGCACTGTTCGTGGCTGAACGGAGCATCGGTGAGCGCCTGGTAGGCTGCGCCGCATAACATCCGGGTACGGCGGCACAGCCTACCCACCGTGCGTCCACTAACCACCGCACCTCTCCTGACCGCGCTGCACGAAGTGAGCCGGCGCGGTGGCGTGGGAGCGAGCAGATGCACTCGTGACCTCAAGTGCATTATTATTATTTTTTTTTGCAACAATTTCGTCTATAACACTAAAATGTTCAGTGACAATGCTGTGCATGGGCTTTTGCGTATTAAAACTTTCAAGTACCATCCAATCCCAGCCTTTCATCAGGGAGCTTCAACTTTCTCTAGCAGTTAGCACAATTAGGAAAGGGAGGCGTTTGTCTCCTCTTCAACCTCTATATTTGCTTTCTGTGACCCTGTTCGACTGTCACCTCTCTGCGAATCGCAGACGCGGCCGACGCAGCAGCTCAGCTCAGCGCGGACATATTACTGTCGTGGAGATAATTTACTACGGCAACAAACCATTTCGTCCGCGCCATAACCGTTCATGCGCCGATAAAACTGCGCCAGAAATGGCGACATATGGTACAATGCTATCAGGTTCCAGTGCGAGAAACGGCCTGTGATAAATGCTGCCAAATGCTGCCAAGTCTTCGTCGTTTCAGCGGTCATACGGCAGGTCGGTGATCGATTCCCCATTTTCCGCCGCAGCGTTGCCGCAGCGAGGTCCAAATATCACGGGCCTGTTTCTGGACAGCATGGACGAAGGTGACCGCGTCTGGGCCAACTGCACCTCGTACAGGTCAAGGCCAGCCGCGCAGCTCACCTGGTATATCAACGGTGCTAGGGTGAGTGAAAATACGCACATGACGCATGTAAGGTTATAAACTTATAACGCTTATAACATATAACGCATATAATGCATACAGCGCATATAGGGCACAAATATTACATCTGAGTGCAAATATGCACACACACAGATACATGCAACATCAGACTGGGTGACTCTCTCTCTCTCTCTCTCTCTCTCTCTCTCTCTCTCTCTCTCTCTCTCTCTCTCTCTCTCTCTCTCTCCCTCTCGCTCGCCCTCCTCTAAGCTCTCCCGCCGTGGCTGATCGGACAAACACACACCCTCCCAGCCTGGCGACTGCCACCGCAGTCCACTCGCTGTAGGACGCTGGTCACGGCGATTAGGCCAGCAGCTCACTGCTATCGCCCCGTGGACGCTCGGCTGGCTTGCCGTCGGCCCTAACTCAGCCCTCCCCGCCCGACCCCTCCCACAGTGACCCCCAGTACGGCCGTCTGGTCAGCCCATAACTCGCGCACAGCGGCCGCAGCGGCCCGTCTGCAAAATAGGATGAGTAATGCGTTGTTTGTCGTGTAGAGCCTCTTTGAGTCGCCGATGGGTGCGTTTCTTGTTTCTGGAGCCGGGTGACATTGGGACACAACGCTACCAGCGCCGGGGTATGCAACAGGCGTCTATGAGTAGTGTCAGCATTTAATGGAACGTGCTCCCAGCCATAGCCCGACGAGACTGGGGCCATCTCGTTCGATATTGAACGCTCGCCATTCGCACGGATGGGAGTTCTCGGCAAATCTGGCGTGCGACGATAACCCTTGATTTAATTGGGCCCAAACGGGATTTACCGCTTATTTTATGGGGATAAAACCGTCAGACTTCCGTCTGATGAAATTTGTTCATGCATGGCTTTCCCCACTGGAGCATTATGGCGGCGAAGCCATGGATCAGGCTAATCGACATTCTTCAATGAACTCCGTGAGCGTAGTCATAGCCCGTGAGCTTATGTTCCAATATTTTCGAAGATCAAACGCTAACTAAGTTAACTTCAGCGAACCTCTATCTTGGTTTCAGAAGCTGATTGATCTCTTCAAGTTAACGGAAGTGTCTCGCTTCAAAAGCTCTAATACCTTAACCCTCGCCCATGTGGGGGGGGGTGCAACCCCCCCCCCCCCCCCCTGAGGTTTTTCTTAGCTACACGCCGAACCGTTTCAGATAGCCTGCTCAAATTTTCAGTACCTTATGGGGCATCCTTTGCGCAACTTTTGGTATTTTTTTGTCAAGGTCATGTCAGGTCACGGAGTTATGACGTCATAAAGGGAACAACCTCCGGCCAGATTTACGCTAAATTGGAGATTGTTTCACATTGGTATAAATGCCGACTGACTGACACACTGATGGATTGTTTTAGAATCATAACTGGCTGATTTGACATTGTCACAATGTCCGTTGACCTTTTCAAGGTTACTTAAGGTCAAGGTCAGGTCAGTGACCTCGGTTGACTTGTAATGACTTTTTGCAATTGTATGCCTTTTCGGGGTATTTTGATGCCCTGAATTCGAATTTGCTATCCATTTCAGGCATCGTCGGTTGTTTCTTGTAGTCCATTTTGGGTCAGGGTCAGGTCAGTGACGTCACACGCCTGACGTGACCCAATGCACAAATGACCTTGCAGACTTCCGATGCTCCCAACGCATCATTTTTAGAGTTATGGCATCGAAATACACACCAAACGGCAGAGAATTGATCAAGGATCACGATAGTGAAGGTTTAAAGTCAATATCTCTTACCGTTTTGCCGCAATCGGCGCGGAAATCTGAAAAAGCTAGATTTTTCCGAAAATTTGACCTTTGACCGGTCATAAGTAGGTCAAATGTTGAGCTAGGACCAAAAATATACCACCAATCGCGAGATCTCGTTGAGAGCAATCCGTTGGTCTTTTCCGTTAAGCTCTACGACGCTCCGTTTTCAAACGCCAGGGGGGGTCGCACCACCGCACCACCTTCGCCCTGCATGGGCGAAGGTGGCAAAACACCGTTTACGGGCGAGGGTTAATTCCTTTTAATGATCGGCCTCGTCAGGAAAATTTCAATAAATTCTGGAACAATTATTAATTGCATTAACAGATGAATATTTATTTGCATGAAATAAAAACTGACAAGAAATAATTGATAATATAAACCTAAGCATGCAATTAAAGAGCAGAAAATCCAAATCAAGACCTTCAAGTTGCGGTAATATGAAAGGGAGGGGGCTGAGAAAGCAAATAGTTATGCTCTATAGGACCAAACCTTATTGACAACAAATGTATTTAGCAAAATATTTTGTGCAAAAAACAACAATCTGGCAGGTCTGACGCTATCCCAACTTCTTTGCGATTGAGTTATCTAAGTTAGGTGAAACGAAAGCATGCGTCCAATTCAATCGCGCCAACCAGAAGAAAGGCGCTCAATTCAATCAGTGCCCATCTCACTGTGCCTGATCCCCACTGCTTACACTAACAACGCAATGTGATACATCCATCTGAATGATAGATGAGACTCTACACTACAGCAGAGTCGCGGCGACAACACCTCTGTATTGTACATACAGGTGTAAGCACAGACTGACGCCCCTGCGGCCCCTTTCAGTCCGTCGCTCCCAGCTCGGGCATAAATCAATCGAGCGACCAGCCAGTGCAGCGGGCCGGCTTACAGCGCTATATGATCGCAGTAATGTACAGTCGGCATTAGTCGGATTGAGGCGCGAGGGCTCGGCCGGTCTCCCCTCTGAGCGTGCCCAATGAGGGGATCTGTCGGGGGAGGGGGGAGGCTGGCGGACGGTGATCACATTGGCTGATATGGCATTGATCTGGGTGGGTTGTCACTGGGGACGAAGAGCAACACTTGGCATCAGAGAACGCGAGGGAGAAGCACAATAGACCCCGCGAGCCGGGTGGGCGCATCTCCCGCGCACGAGATCTAATCGAATGACTCGTGACAGTCTAGTCGGTAAATAACTACCCCTGCTGTGCAATTTAGTTTGCATACATCATACGAGTACACGCGCCAGCATTAAGTGGGAAAAACTAACGGGAGTGCGATTGTTAAAGCATAAACACATTTGTTTGTGGTAAATGCCTTGAAAATGTACCTTCATCATGCAGTAGGTATGTAAGAAAGTTTTTTTTTTCAACGGAGAATAAGGTAAGAATATCACTTATAATTATTCATTCCCATAGCAGTCTTCAAGATCTCAGTTCAAAGGGCTGTATAATGTACAAAGTAGTCTAGTTCTGATCCTAAAATGATACACAGTTAAAATTATGTGCCAAATATATCTCGCTGAACAGTTGTCGACCAATGAGATCATGACATTTTAATACGACTTCTTCCCCTAAAATGTCCACGGGTGATCGCTAATGGTAGAGCATCACACAATGTCTCATATATGTTGTCTTTTTAATTGACTGTCACCCCCTATTTCCATTTTACTGGTGGAAATCGTGTTCGGGAGTCCCTATATTTGTAGAGTTCATAATATTATGTTTTCCTATGGCGTAATACCTACAGCATTTACTCATTCCTTGGCACAACCACATTGCATATTATGTTGAGATAATATGTCTTCAACCTGTGCCGAGCATGCACAAAATAAACGCTTTCCATACGCGCCGTATCGGTGCCAGAGGTCGATACATTAGTTAATGGCGCTGAACTTGTGCTTGTGTGGGTTATTCGTCACAACGACAAATAGCGTGCTCCTGACCAGCCAGTAAATCACTCCCCTCAGCACATAATAGTTGCAATAAATAATCCACACAACGTCTCGCGGTAATAAATCTCTCATGGAAAACCAAAACACCTGTCAATAGCACTCGTGACCCAACCAGCTCATCAATATAAAGTTAGGGGTAGCCGAAGTCCGAACCTCTAGTAAAATTTGCCCAGCTTGGACAAGTAACTACTTACCCATGTTTGCTAATAAATTTAAACATATACGGAAAAATGCGCCATGTAAAGGACTATGCGAAGACTTTTGTTTTTGTGACACGTAAATTCACGTCAATTTCAAGCGTCCCGATGACGGATCTTCACGCAGTCACCAAACACTTTGGATATATTTTCAGACCTTTACAATTAGGCAGCGTTTCCAGTAGTCATGTGAACTGAACCTTACGCATCTGTTGTCTGGTCTGAACGACTTGCACGGCTGTCAGCCGATACTTACAGCGCTCTATCTGCAGCCTACATGCTTTTTCACACTTGTCCAGAAAAACTGCCGGATGTTTGGCTGCGAACGACACAAATATAACTCTATAAGTTGTGAATGGACGTTGCTCACCTCGACCCGTTGACCATGTATTCAGCATTGAGGAAATGTGACCTCTGCGTATGACAGGCAATATCGGCCGAGTCGGAGCGAGGTGTCAGCCGCCCAGAGTTCCGCCCGTCTCCCCGCTCCTCCGCCACCCGTCGCTAGCACGGTACCCCGCTGGCTCGCGGTCCGGCGCCGCGGCGACCCAATCAAACACGCTGAATGATAGGCCGGGCCGGAAATCACCTGAAAGACCGGCTCGGCCGGTCAGTGGACCATGCCGGCCACACGTCTCGGCCGCCGGTGTCGGTCGCTGCCGATGGCTGTGGCCAGCCGCCATATATCGAACAGTCGCCGCTAGTGGCGCGGAAAATTGGCCCAGCTGCCGTAAAGTAGCGGCTCCGCCGGACAGCTCCGATCGTGCCCGCAGTGCAAATTTGACGCGTGCGTGTGGCTCGAGCTTGCAGCGGCCGCTCGAGAGATGTCGAATATGATAGCGAGCACGTCACTCGCCCCGCCACGCTCGGCATCGCCAGGCCAGGAGGCGGAGAATGCGACTACGGCGGCGTGCTCAGTCGTCGTCCGGTTCCCGGAGGACAGCCGCTGGTTTATGACCTCATCGAGTGCTCTTCGCTCACACGGGAGCGGCTATCACTGCTGGCACGGCAGCGCGGCGGTGCTTCTGAGCCCGGCCGACCGGCCGGCTCGTATTGCTCTTCATGGAACTGCACCTAGGTACTCAGGATTAATGCAAATTAAAGGCGCTGATGTCTCGCCGCATTAGGAATGAGTTCCAAGTGGGCTGGTCTCAGGCGTTCAGTTAACCCATTAGATACGCTTGGCAGCTTTTGCTGCCACAGGACAAAATAGCGCCGCATTCCTAAACGTTGCGGTGAACTTTCAAAGTTCTCACCCGAACGGAAGACCAAAACAATGCACGTCATGTGCGCTCCGAATTATTGATCGAGAAAGCGAATGTGCTGAGAAATAAACAATTTATCGCGGGGTGCAAGGGGCGCGCGATGGCGGCCGTGCGGCGGACACCAAAGAAGTCAGTTGCGAAGGTGGTGTGAATAAATGTTACCTTTTTATTATTGATTATTGTAAAGAAATGTGTGATTATCAATGGAAAGAGCTTAGGTGCAACATGAATTTCTCTAAGTATCGCCAATCGTGCGTTATATTTAAGTGGCAGCAAAAGCTGCCAACCGTATCTTACGTAGTCAAAAATGGAGCAGTTACGTCCTTTTTGCTATGCCATTCGTAAGTGAGCAACAATGTCTGGCTTTATGGCTCATGGTGTAATGCCCCAGTTCTTTGCCTTTCCAAAAATGGTCATTACCGGGGTTTCTGCTATTTATTCTTGTCTGCAGAGCATTGCATACCAACACACTACCAGGCGTGTAATGTATTCCGCCATTCCTGAAGCAGGGACGTTGAACGGAGTGGTGCGGACAAACTGTCTTCACAGGCGCCATCCCGCTCAAGGGGCGCGCCGTCGCCCAAGGGAAGGTGGTGCCGTGGCTCTATAGATGAACGGGAAGAGGGGCGCCTGCTAGGCCTGTTGGGGCGCCTTTGAGGCCTAACTATGGGGTCGCCTCGCCCCCCGCCCCGCTCCCGCCCCCCATGCAAAAGAGGGGCGCCTACGAAGGTCATGGCCATAATGGCGCATCTGCACGAAAGAGGGACGCCTGCATGCCGAAGAGGGGCGCCTATGAAGCCCAATGGGGCGCCTCTACGAGAAAGAGGGACACCTGTAAGGTCTATAGGGGTGCATGTAATGTCCATAAGGCACCTTTATGCGAAAGAGGGGCGCATTGCATATGAAAAAAGAGGCTAATTGCACAAGAAAGAGGGGCGCCTCTGAGACCTATAGGGGCGCCTTTGATGACCAAATGGGCGCTTACATGGGAAAGAGGGGTGCCTATAAAGCTTAAAGGGACGTCCTCCATGTGAAAAGGGGCGCCTGGGACTTGAGCGCCCTTCCGAGCTGTCCGAGGTCGCCGGAAAGTTTGCATATGTCCAGCTCCTGCTGCACTATCCTCCAAAATAATTCGATTGGATTTAGGCCAGGACTGTTCCCTAGCCAAGTGTCCTTCCCCCAGATATCGGACAGATGGTCCTGGCACCGCCTAGTTCCGGAAGATCGATGAGATGGAGAAGGTACCGTCCAGCATGAAAATGCTGTCCGACCTGCGGGACACCATGCGCCGTTGGAGCACGGGGTAGTGGTCTTTTAATGCCAAATGCACGCTTTTTCAGTATGTTTTCTAGGTAGTAGTCGGGATCGACTTCGTATTTTGCTAGATCACGTCCAGCTGGTTCAGCTCAGGCCCTGCTAGGACATCGTGATCGTTCGACATACCATTGCGGCAAAAAAAAAATCGCAGAAGTCTGTCGGAACTTGGGCCGCGTTTTCAGCCCATGCTCGTTTTGGGGGTCCGTGTGGTGAAACCATTGAAACGGAGACTCGTCGCCGAACTAGACCCGCTTCTACATGCCTACTCCGTTTCCACTCTTCTACCGGCCAGATTCTCCGTTTCGTGCAAATCTGAGGGCTCTGGGCTTGCTGATTTTCGTTATTTTGGCCGCACCAATAGTCAAGCGCCTTCAGTCCAAGGGCGTTCCTCCCTTATCAATGGACAACATTATCCGAGTGATCATTATGAATAAGACTTCAGATTCTCCGCAGAATGGTCAGAGTTCCCAGGTGCTTTCTTCATGACGATCTTGGCGACGGTTGAGACGCAGGAGGACCATGCTGATTGGGGCTTATGCGTGACGCTACTTGTCCCTAAACTTCTTCCACCAGCGCTTGTTGGTGAAAACGGGGGCTTAGAAGTGTGAGGCAGCGTCCTTCCATGTGTTGCCACTTGCCAGCTTGGAGCATGCCAACAGCGCAACTACGAACCTCTCAACTGTAAAGCTAAACCTTCATGCTTAGACGTTCCGTAAATGCGCCGTTCACAGGTTAAACAATTACCTATGCCAGTGACCCCCATTGGTAGTCAGCTTTTCAGATAATATCCGCTTCAGAGAAAGACTCAGGGACACAATTCGTTGAAAGGAACGCGATATTTAGGAGCACATTGGAAACACGCCAAGTTGCTCTAAATAAACGGTCGACGGAAGTCATCAAAACCTTCGTCGCATCCTATACAAGATTTTGTGGGGAGAGGAAGCGCGTGTGAGCTGAAATAATGAGAGAAAGAACATGATCTCTCAGAACGAGCTGAACTGTTTGCTGAGGTCTGGATTTTGAGTTCATTATTCTTGAGAATTATTGGCTACGGTCGTTATTTGCAGGCTACGGTCGAATGGAAATCCGAACAATTACACATATTCAAGATCATATCTGGTACGTAAATAAAATAGTTCGTGAAAATTGTACATGCACCAACAGGAGACACTCTGTGGTAAAGGTTGTTGGTATCGAAAGATCATTTCCTCGCGGTTTTGATATGTTTGTGCTTTGAAATGTGACAAACCACTCCATTTTTGACTACGTAAGATACGTTTGGCAGCAAAAGCTGCCAGACCGGAAACGTACACTTCCGGTTTCGTGATCTGGCTAAAAATGCACATGTATTCTCCTAAAGGGTGCCTGACAAACATATGTTAAAATCACAGTGAAAGTCGACAAAAAAAGTTTTCGGCTCTAATGGGTTAATGCATGTGAGTGTTACGCCACGCAGGAGTATTCACCAGCGGCATTCGGTCCTGTCCAAGGAGATATTCACCTACGTAGTCGATAGCTTGCCCGGAAGACTGGTTTCGGCGATTGAGTAACACTAAATAATCCATTCTCAACGGTCCGTAGGCTTGATTTCAAAGTCAAGATTGTGCAACTTCGGGAAACCGCGGAATCAAGTGATTCATTGCGCTCATCTACATGCGGAATATCTATACCTTGCAAATCATCTCTCTCTCTCTCTCTCTCTCTCTCTTCTCTCTCTCTCTCTCTCTCTCTCTCTCTCTCTCTCTCTCTCTCTCTCTCTCTCTCTCTCTCTCTCTCTCTCTCTCTCTCTCTCTCTCTCTCTCTCTCTCTCTCTCTCTCTCTCTCTCCCTTTCTTTTTTCTCTTCTCTTCTCTTCTCTTCTCTTCTCTTCTCTTCTCTGCTCTTCTCTTCTCTTCTCTTCTCTTCTCTTCTCTTCTCTTCTCTTCTCTTCTCTTCTCTTCTCTTCTCTTCTCTTCTCTTCTCTTCTCTTCTCTTCTCTTCTCTTCTCTTCTCTTCTCTTCTCCTCTTTCCTCTTTTCTTCCATCTATCTTATTTTTTCTTCCGACCTCTCATCTGCATCACTTTTGTTAAAATGACGCCGACATATAGACGTAGCACAGTTAATCTGACATCCCCTTCGTCTCCCCCAGTCGGATAACGCCTCCCTGAGGTGGTACCCAGAGCAAGTGGATCCCTCCGGGCTGCGCAATGTCACACTGGGCCTGGACTTCCGGCTGCGGGGCTCCCACTTCGGCTCCACCGGCCTGGTGATGCTCAAGTGCACCGCTGAGATCGAGACTGTGTTCTACCAGAGCGCCAACGTCCGCATCGTCAGCAGGACCATGGCCATGCGGTCCCCCTTTGGAAAGGGTGAGCTGCTCGTGGTATCCTCCCTAGGGGTTTGAGACGTAAATGCCGTTCAGAATCATGCAGTTAGTTTAATTGGTTCCGAATTCCGACGATGAAAAGGTTAGTGCTTGAAAAAGATATCCGTCTTGATCATAATTCCAACCCTTGAATGTGCATACAACTTGTCATTTAATGGCAACTAAACACATCTCAAGAATGTTTGTTATAGGCACACAATTAAAAAAGCATGGCATGTCATTCAAACACCCACGGGTACCAATATGAATAATGCTCAAGCTCATATTCATTGACCAGCAGCATCCTATCGTAGAATGTTTATCGATTTTCTCGTTCTTAAGCATTTTACAGCTGACCGACGCGCGCACAGCAGGACAGACAGACACCCTAACACCTGTTTACAGGGTCTGCGCTGGCCCTCAGCGGGTCTTCGGCGTCCCTGCTGTTGCTGCTGCTGCTGCTCGGCCTGCGCTGCCTCTCCGGAGGCTAGAGCTGCTTCTGTGACACTGGCTAATGACGTCACCGGAACCGGATACAGAGCCGGTGCGGTCACCACCTCGCGAACGGAGAGCATGATTTGGTGTGAGACTGGATAGCTGTTAGATACTGACGAGATGATGACGCGAAGATGACGCGAAGATGACGTGTTGATGACGCGTTGATGACGCGATAACGCCGTCGTGCTGCCAGGGGACGTTCGACCGTGTGTGAAGAACACTGTGGCGTCATTGGAGGCACGTGGCTGCCGAGGCTCGTGTCCAGACGCTCTGTGGCGTCAGTGGAGATATTCTTGTCTGCCGTGGGTTGCGTCTGAACGTTATGACGTCATAAGAGGCACGTCTGTTTGTGGGATGGCTCGAGTGCGCGTGTGAATGCAAGTGTGAGCTGGCGAGGGTTGGGGACAGCCGGAATAGGAGCGGAGTGAAAGCCCTGTTTGACGCTAAGTGCCCTCCAAGAATGCTTCCATTCAGAAATACGATGCTCTAATTAAGGCATGCTATTTTGGATGCAACCGACACCCAACTAACAGTAGGCACAGTAGGCACGGATAGAAGGAAAATGCTCGGTGACGCAGCCCACCTAGATGTGACTTATTACTTATAATTACCGCTTCGATAATTTATTTCACTGCCTCCCTATAATAAGTAACATAATGATCATTATCTTTCACTTAGGTAGTTTTTATAATACCTATAATTCTCCGTGAAAACTAAATAAGGCAAAAGGCGCAGTTTCGCCGACAGGCAAATAATTACTTCAGGCATGTTGGACAAAAGTGTGACCGTTGTCAGATTTCATGACTTCTCTATTTATCAGCACTGCAGTTTAGCCATTTACTTAGGCACAAAATTTCCTTCATATTTGTATGTTTGTGTATACAATCAAAGTTGAAAGCATTTTGTACTTACTTCTGCTATATGCGAAACAAATGAAAAATCACAATGAGCATCATTATCAAAAATCTTAAATATAAAGAAGTTTCACCCTAACAGTTTTCCCCAAATTGCTAGGCAGTAGGGCAAATTTCTACCAAGAAGCCCTGAGGTAATGCCTCATTATCTTTCAAAAGCAAAGCTGCTGAAAGTTTATCAGCACATTCTAGCAAGCGCCAAACATTCACTTTTCCTGTGAGAGGCAATGCCCAGCCCAGTGCCCCCCAACATTACCAAGGTGTCGATCGGACCCGGGTCTACTGGGTGTCCCTTTGAACCGATCTGCTGCTGGATGTGTGTGCAGAGTGACTGTCAATGATCATAGTATGACTGCCGCACTGTCTGCTTTGCTCTGTACTCATCGCGCCAGTGATCGCCACTGGCGCTGTCGCGATGATATTGGCCGCATTCCGAGACAGAGGCTGCTGTACGGCAGCCTGCGTTTGCATTTATATCAATCAGTGTACAACGCACAGCGCATGGGTGAACTAATGTATTGGCTAGCTAGGGGCAATTTATACCTATGTTTTACAGGTTTTAGCTGACGGGTCACCCTCATATTGGTTTACATACCTATAAGAACACGCAGATTGTGTTGTTAGCCGAATGAGTGCCGGAGGCCACGTGGGTCTGACTGACGTTGTTCACTGTGATATGTTTATTGATGTGCAATGGATAATGGCATCGCGCAGACGGTGATGACATTAAAAGGCGCTGTCCGAAGGCTCAGAAATAAATTGAAATGTGTTCATGACTGACCTGTTGTATTTCTAAGCAGTGGATGAATGACATGATTCTATCTGAATTCAGAATGATGCTTTCCATAGTTTTGACTGAACAGACATCTACATTTTCCGCTTCCCCTTCGAGCTGCCAGCAAACATAGAGACAATTAGCTATGCTATGCGTAACCAATCTCAGCGCCAACCTCACAACCAAGTCCCTCCAGGAAAACACTGTAGCTGTACAAAAAGGGGCTATTGGTATATTCAGCCCAAATGAACACGACACAAACATACTAGCAAGTATACATGTCTCAACCGAGACTGCCCTGCCAACGGGCCGCCACCCCTCCCCCCGCGCGGCGCAATGGTGTCCCCACCCAAACTAGAAACCCTGTCGTGTGTGTCCTCCCCCGGAAAAAGTCCTAACTAGAAAAAAACCGGGGGACCTAGTTGGGGAAAAAACCACATTTTGTGGAAAAACCCATCTTTATTTAAGAGTGTGGTGCGTGTAAAAAAAAAGAGCCCCAAAAATGGTGGTGGGTGGGTGGGAAACGCAAAAACATTTCAGAGCGAGAACACTGCTGACTTGCGTCAGACCAGGCGGCTTAGAACAGAGTGACCGCGCAAATGCACTCAAACCCCGCGCCGTCACGGTCACGTGACCCGAGTCGCTCCACCAATCAGAGGAGGCCGCCGCCTTAGCGGCCTCGCCGCCCGGGGGCGCAGGCGGCCGCCCGCCTGCCGCCGAACGCTGCTCGCAGAGGCCGGCCCGGCTCCGGGGCCGCCCCAGAGAAGACGCTCGTAGTGTCGCGGAAAAACCGGTTATATCTTGTGATATATAACCGGGCGTATTTTCCGCTTCCCCTTCGAGCTGCCAGCAAACATAGAGACAATTAGCTATGCTATGCGTAACCAATCTCAGCGCCAACCTCACAACCAAGTCCCTCCAGGAAAACACTGTAGCTGTACAAAAAGGGGCTATTGGTATATTCAGCCCAAATGAACACGACACAAACATACTAGCAAGTATACATGTCTCAACCGAGACTGCCCTGCCAACGGGCCGCCACCCCTCCCCCCGCGCGGCGCAATGGTGTCCCCACCCATTCAATACATCCACCCAGACACCAATGCGCCAAAATAAAACACCCTCTTCCCGAGACCAGCAGACCGAATGGGGGGTACAAATTAACACAAAAGACTTCTAGTCGCCGCCAGTGTCGAGACCAGTGGCAGAACCCACCCAAATACGTGCTTGGTTGAAGGTAGGTAATTATTTCCTCAACCTGGCCCGAAGCTTACCAGAAACGCCACGATCCCTAAAACCTGCCAACATGAATGTGAGCGATACAGCGGTCACCAATGAAGAACAATATTACGGCATTACAGCAGCCCTTACAGCAGGACTAACAACCAGTAGCATTAGCCACTACTGCGATGATAGCCTCCACCAACCAAAGGCCCTCGATATACCCGCCGAAAAAACAACCATCCATGAGTTCTGAGGCATCTGACAACAGAAGCTGTATATTCCTTTACCTTGAACCCTATGCACATGCCTATCAGCGCGACCATTAATTTTCCCAGAACTTTGGAAGGGGTTAGAACAGCATCAACGAAGGTCGTTGACAGCCGCCCAGCAAAAAAGGGGAGGGCTCTCGGCCCGCTCCAGGAATCAGCGCTCTAAGCCGCCGTAAGGACACCCGCGCTATCGGGCGTCCTAGCGGCAGCTACCTACGGGTAGACTAGCGAGCCGCCCCGTGTCCGTTGTAGAAGGTGGAAGAATGGAGCATCCCGGGCAGCACCCGAGGCCATGAGAAACGGCTTCCCCGGGCAGACTAACGAGCTGCTTTTTTCTTTTATTATTGTTTTTGTCATTGTTAATTATTATTATTATTGTTGTTATTATTATTATTATTATTATTATTATTGTTATTATTTTAGCGCCGCCCCTTAAAAAAAACATGGAAACCCATTGGTTGTTAGGCAATTGAAAACAGAGGCCGCAGCTACTGTTACGTGTACCTTAGCCCCTGTGCTATACGTGGCAATGATAACGACCATGAATGTAACCTAAAATTTTGCAAGGGGTTAAAACAGTGACCACGAGACTATAGGTAATCAGGTCATAGATAGCCGACCAGCAAAAAGGGGAGAGCTCTCAGCGCGCGCCGGCATCAGCACTCTAAGCCTCCGGAATGACGCCTGCGCTATACCGGCGCCCTGGCGGCAGCCACCTCCAAGCAGACGAGCAAGCCGCCCCGAGGCCGCTGTAGAAATGTACATCCTCGGCAGACTAGACAGCTGCCCCGAGGCCGTTGTAGAAGGGGACACCCCCGGGTAGACTAGCGAGCTGCCCCGAGGCCGCTGTATGAGACACCCCCGGGCAGACTAGCAGGCTGTCCCGAGGCCGTTGCAGGAGAGGACACCCCCGGGCAGACTAGCGAGCTGCCCCGCGGGGTCGTTGTAGGAGGGGACACCCTGGGGCAGACTAGCGAGCTGCCCCGAGACCGTTGTAGAAGGGGGCACCCCGGGCAGACTAGCGAGCTGCCCCGAGGCCGTTGTAGGAGAGGACACCCCCGGGCAGACTAGCGAGCTGCCTCGGGGTCGTTGTAGAAGGGGATACCCCCGAGCAGACTAGTGAGCTGCCCCGGGGTCGTTGTAGAAGGGGACACCCCCGGGCAGACTACCGAGCTGCCCCGGGGTCGTTGTAGAAGGGGACACCCCCCCCCCCCCGGGCAGACTAGCGAGCTGCCCCGGGGCGTTGTAGAAGGGGACACCCCCGGGCAGACTAGCGAGCTGCCCCGGGGTCGTTGTAGAAGGGGACACCCCCGGGCAGACTAGCGAGCTGCCCCGGGGTCGTTGTAGAAGGGGACACCCCCGAGCAGACTAGTGAGCTGCCCCGGGGTCGTTGTAGAAGGGGACACCCCCCCGGGCAGACTAGCGAGCTGCCACGGGGTCGTTGTAGAAGGGGACACGGGACACCCCCGGGCAGACTAGTGAGCTGCCCCGGGGCGTTGTAGAAGGGAACACCCCCGGGCAGACTAGCGAGCTTCACCCGGGACTTGCAGAATCGGGCATCCCAAGATTCTCCGAATGTCTAGGGCAATTACCCGACCCGAATACCAAAAATACCAGTTTTTGAAACCTGATAGTATCCGCATCACCCGCCACGGGCAACAAGCTTGCCTTTCCGCGAAGCTCCGGATTGATAAGGGACCAAATGACCGGCATACAGACAGCCCCTACCCTGTAAACAGGCCAATATGGGTATAAGGGTTGCCGTTGCTTCCTAGCTCGACACGTTTTGGAGGTCGGTTTACTGCCTCCAAACGCCGAGCTGGCTCAATGTCACCCATAGAAGGTACAGTAACTCACCCACCAACCAACCATAGGCAGGTCCTGAGCGACGTCAACCCTGATGCTGGCGAGGGGTACCCCGTACCAGTGCCCCAAAATTTGTTGATTTAGGTGGGAAACGACATCCAAATGAAAATCACTCTTCACTCGCCTCCATTTTTAAGCCCATTTTCCACTCCCAATTTTACCAAGAAAAAGCATTTGCATGGATCGATAGCCATCTTACTTCCCACATACCAGCCTTGTATTAAATTTTGCTGTACATTCTTCTTCCACTCTTTTTAGGCCTTATCTGACCATCAATTTTCCACCCTTATCCCTTATTTGGTGAGTAATTTTCATAGACCCGGGAAACAGGGGGCAGCGGGGGCGCTTGCCCCCTCCCATCCTGAGAGCCGAGGGGGCGGCACCCCTCAACATTGAGGCAGCGAGAAAGGACCTTCCCTCCCTTTTCCGGACTTCTTGTTTCCTTTATACACCTAAACATAAACACACGGCATTTTCCTTGCCATCTGAATGGTTTCTGCTGTTACAGTATCGATTTGACATCTGCTGTTGACATCCCACTTTTGTTTGGGCCTGGCCTTGGCCATAAGTTTGGCAGGCCAGCTTTTACACTGGACCATTTTGAGTCAACCTTGAGAAATTCCTAAAGTACAACTGTGGTAAAATCGTTGCTATAGGTATAACACAGTTTACCCGCTCCGGGTGTAAGGGAGGGGTGTGGGGCAATGAGTGCACTGACGTGGCGCCCTTGGAAGGCCGGTATGGGATTAAAAGCTCAGCGACACTAAGCGCTTGTATGGTACCTTCGGTTATCGTTAGCATCCTCAGAATCACCGGCGTAAGGCCCTAAGAGCCGCCGGTAAGGGGCCTTTAGAGGCACTGGTGTGGGAATGTCATGCAGGTGCCGGTGTGGGCGCTCAGAGGTGCTAGTGTGATTCTCTCAGAGGCGCCGGTGAGGGTCCTTACAGGCGTTGCTGTGGGCCCTCATAGACGCTGGTGTGGAGCCGTTACAGACGGGTGTGGGGCCCGAGCCGCGGACGCGAACCCTCTTCAAGCCGGCAGGGGGTTCTCAGTGACCGGCAAGAGGCCCTTAGGCCAGCAGAAGAAGTTCTGTGGGGTCCTTAGAGAGCGGCATGGTACTATCAGACGCCGGTGGGGCCCTAAGAGTCACCGGACCGGTGTGGGGCCCCCAGAAGTCACCAGTGGGTGGCCTTTAGATGCGCCGGTGTTGGGTAGGGATTCGGGTCCTCACTCTCAGAATCGCCGATATAGGGCATAAATAGGCACTAGTGTAGGCACTAAGAGTTGGGGGTGTGACACCCTCAGAGACACCGGTGTGGGCCCTCCTAGGCGCCGACGAGGGCCCCACAGTTGCCGTTATAGGGCTCTCAAAAAATAATTGTGGGACCATCACAGGCGGGAAATGCCCCTAGAACTGGGCCCTCATAGGCCGGTAAGAACTTTCAGAGGCCAGTAAGGGGCCTTTGGAGACCACTGAAGGGCCCTAAAGGGCACAAGAGGCCCTCAGAATCCGGCGTGGGCCCTTAAAGAGATCTTAGTGTGGCAATTTAGGGTCCATGAGGTGCTCTAATGAGCCCCATTGGGCGCTTCTATATGGCCATTGTTAACCCCCAGTGGTCAAATGGCGCCGCAGGGCCCTTCTGACC